ATCTCAGTTTTCACTATAATACTGTGTACCAAACCATTTTAATCACTTAGAATCCTTTTCTTTTCTTTTTTTTTTTTTTAACTGCTGGGCTTATAAAAGCTGAACTTCTGGGAAGAATAAAGTTATTTTGCATAAAGCTCTACTTAGCTGCAGCTTTCAAATAAAAGTCATCTGCATAAATACTGGAATGTGTTACACCCTTTTTTCTTTCTAATGAAAAAAGAGATATTTTTCTGTTATTTTTATAGGCACCCTGGGAATTCCCACACTGCTTGTACTTCCTATACTGCAAAGGATTTGATCCAGCAGACAAGATAACTGGACAGGCACTGGCTTTGTTATTTGTGCCACTCTGAGGAGCTGTTGCAGCCTCAGCACCCAGAGCACCCCAGCCTCACAGAGCTATGGCAGCTAAGTCAGCCGGCACTCGAGAGCAAGAAGCACCCTTAGCATTTTTAAGGTCCTGTCATGTCCTGTTACAGGAGCTGTTCTTGATGGCCAAGGGCAGTGACCAGTGTGGCTGCAGCAACGCCAGCACACAGAAGAGACAAGTGGCTGCCTCTTGGGTGGCATCTCCCCTTAGTGATGCTTTAATCACCACAAGAATCAGAATTCTATTTAACAAACTGCCTTGTTTCATCACAGTGTCGAGCAATTCAGCAGCTGCTTTCAGAATCAATGAAAAAAATACTGAAGTGATTTCTTGTGCCCATTAGAATCTCTGTTGAGAGCAGTCATCAAAAAGAGTGCAAATCTTTCTTAATTTCTGCATAAAGGGAAAGATCATTCCCTCACAAAATAAAATACCTCACCATAAAAATTCATCCAATTACTTACACAACTTTTTCACATCCTGCCTGTTTAATAAGAAAAATAAGACATTTGTTAGTTTATTACACCACCAGTGCACAATTCATTTTTATGACCCAGCTACAATAAATAACACAAATGAAACAGGCAAATCTCATAGCCTCCAGTGAAACAATATTTGGAACTTAATTACATGCAGTACACATTTTGCAAAGGATGCAGACTCAGTTCCAAATTTAGCAAAATGTGATCAGGAAATAAGTGTCTGGAACTTAACCACAGTGTTTGTTTGACCCTTTTCACTCTGGAAACCTACTATTTGCCAAACATCATTTCAGCTTTATAAGAGTGTTAAAGCTCCTCCTCTAGTCCTCTGTAAAGAATTAACTGTTCCATGATAAGATGTTTTTAGAATCTTACTGGTCTAATTTACACTGTAACTTAAAGTTGCTCTATGGGTAAAGTCTCCACAGAATTTTTAATAACTGTGATTAACAAACGACGCCAGTTTTTCACGCTTTAAATACAGGGAGGCAGCTCAAAAGAAATGTGAGAGGAGATGATTCCTTGGAAGGGAGTTCCTCTCTGTCCTCCCTACCAGCTTATCAACTGGCTCCCTCTTCTTTCAGCTATAAAAGCAGTACCAGCTCCTCCCCCCACATGCACTCTGCCCTTGTACACACTGACACCACCGAGAGATCAGGTTTGGACAGTCTCTGTTTAATTTTACTGACATTCTTTTTGTCTTTTCAAGAGGGGTAACTCAGAACTACCTGAATTCACTCACAAGCGTGTGACTGGATGAACTTAGGCTGGGCTGTAGTTTAGTTCTGAAATGCTGAAACTGCTCCAGAGCCCATCAGCACCCAGAACAGATGGACATACTTGGACCTGTTCTGATTGTAAAGGTTTAACACATTCTAATCACCCTACCTAAAACAGTAATACTTCAAGAGAGGTACAGATCATATTTTCACCACGTGGCCATGTCCATAGCTCAGTCTGTGCTCATGTGCACATCGTGTTACTGACAGTGAAAACAGTGGGGCAGAAATCCTCCTGGATTTCATGCTAAATAACTAAAAAAGGAGTGTTGGAGTACCACAAAAGTACACTGCATGAAATATTCCAGCTGTATCCTTCTACTGCTCTATATTGGTAATTTTCATGTTATAATATATTAAGGTCTTCTTAGGTTAAGGTGTATTTCTTTAGAATGACAGACTTGCTCTAAACTGAACCAGCAAATATTTTTTTTCTTAAATTACATCCTAATGATTAGACTGTCCAGTGAGAACCTTTTATTTAAAGGATACATTTAATTCTTTTCACCCATCTTTTGGACTACCTACCTTGGAAAAACAATTTGCAGAGAAAAAGGAATCTTCAAGACAAACAAAAAATTGCTGAAATTCCAGGAGAAACTACCATGGACAATACTGTCTGAGATATTAATTTTTTTTTTTAATACACTGGCCTGAAGAGCTCTGTGAAGCTGCTGCTTTAGAGACATGGATTCAGTTACAGCAAAAAACATGATTTATACAGTTTGTGCAAAAGAGAATGAATCTCTTTTCTCACTGTGGAAAGTGAGATTTTACAGAAGTATTTTACTCTATTTCTGGTAATTAGCAAAAGTATTTTGACTGCAGGAGGACTAAGTAAACTAGTCTAGTGCACACTGACAAAATAAGTGATGATCCCTGGGAAGGCAGAGACCAGAGGTAAAGGGCATGAACTGGAGTGTTTGTTTTCTAGGTTTGAAAAAGCAAAGCTCTGTGTTTGCACTCACTGACAGTACGTACCTCATGCAATAACAATATTGTTGCTATTATGTAATAAAATTGTCTCATAATAGACAGTTATTAAAATAATCAATCCAACTAGCAATTAAATCTCAAAATGACAGAGCATTGCCTGTAATTAAAACACACTTTACTTCCACCCACGTTAGGCAGAGCAGCCCGAGTATCCTAAAACAGCAGTTAGTCTTTATTAATTGTACCTTAATGAGGAGTCCTAGGACAAATTCAGTATTGAAATTCAAAGTACCATCAAACGGTACATCATCTTAAATTAGCCTAAAATGAACAGTAACTGCCAAATGATGAATTCTAGAGTCAGCTGCCCATAGTGACAGGTAATGTGCCCCAGTTATTTGCAAAACCACGTCCCTGCTCTGTCATAAGCCAAAGTACTTCTGTAAAAATACTACCCCAGCTATGGCCAAGAGGACATTTAAATAAAACAGAGTAACCTTTCTGTCTTACCACTCTGACTACAAGTTATAGTGACTGCATCAGAAAATCTAAAGTGAGCTTTGTTTGCTATGGATAACCCCCTCCTCACCACAGAAAGGTTGGGACACTCCTGCATCCCAAAGGGGGCAGTTTCCTAGGAGCTCATAGTAGTGTTTGTTGTGCTCTGGGTGGAAACAGCAGATGCCTGATGTCTGATGCAGATGCCTGATGTCTGATGCAGATGTGTAGAGCCAACCAGAATCTGGAAGATTCCTGTGCCAGGGATGAGCCCACAGCAGGCACTGGGAGGGAAGGGGGAGACCCTTGGGCTCATTTGCACCCCAGAGCCCCACCTTGTTAAAGTAGAATGGAGCTTTGCAGGACCTGAACAGGTTACACAGAACAAGCTACAGCAGCAACACAACAACAACACAACAGCACCTCTGGCCTGGAGCTTTGGCCATCCATGCCAGGGCTTGCTTTCCCAAGCTGTGCACCAGGGAGCACACAGGGAAGTCAGTTCTGCAAAGCTGGTAAAACGAATATCCAAGGAAGATCTGGTTTTTGCAACAAATAACTAAAAGCTTAGAAGTGATTTTTGTAATCAAAAAAATGTTTGATGCAAGGTGGAATAACAGATTATTTCATTTCCTCCTTTCTCTTCAGTTCTGCAGGTTCCCTGGTCTACTCTGATTTTCTACTTTTCTAGACCTTGAGAAACAAAATCTAACTAAAGTAGACAGGAGAATTAGACACTTCAGATGCACAAACAAGACACATTGGATAGATCTGGTTTGGATGAGATACATAAGAGTTAATAGTACATACAGTGCTAACCAGTATTACCTGAAAGCAAGGTAGGAGAAGATAAACATACAATGTTAGGACTCTTGAGAACCAAGTTTAGAAGTTTTTTCAGTTAAATTAGGCACAAAATGATGGGAGATTAGAGTCTAACTTGTCTTATGCAGGCACCCCTTATCTCTGTTTGACCACTCTCACCAACAGGAGACTGGAATTGGCTGGAGTCACTGCCCCAGATAAAATAATTACTTTTATAAGATTAAAGAAGCCATTACCATGGATTGCCTTTGCCCCAGCAGAACAGAGCAATGCAATTGTTCAGTGCTGGAGACCTGGCAAGGACAGACAAAGTGAGTCTGACACCCCAGCAGAGAGGCAGAGACGAGTGCAGGGCCCAAACTCACCAGGACTTGGGAAGTGACAGTGGATCCAAAGGAAAAATCCTGTATGCAACACCTGGACACAGCTTCTTCTCCTGACTGAAGTGGATACTTACAAAATCCTCAGCAAGACTCCCAAAGCTTTTACTAACACTATTCTTAATCCTCAACAGCTTAAATAAAAACCAGTGCCCACTGGAAGCTTTTGAACCTCTTGAAGGGAGGTTCAGGAGTCTTCTTTTTCTTCTGTGCTCATCTGTTCAGTACATACATGTCTCACAGAAACATGAATGAGCTTAGTTAAGAATGTGCCAACGAGGAATGCAATTATACTATTTTAAAAACACAGTCAAGGAAGACATATTAGAGTGTTTAGCAAGTCAAAACTAAAAATATAGTTCCCATGTTCTTAATTTTAGTGTAATATTCAAGACAGATGCTGTGGTGTCCAATCAAAACTACAGCCCACGGTTACTCATCATTTTTTTGTGTACATGACAGAGAGTAATTATTTTCAGCTCCATGCAGTTTGCTGCTTTAATTTGCTGAAGGTCCCCTCAAGCACTTCAGTGGACCTCATGTGGCAGGGGAGGAAAAAGTAGCAGGGAAGAATGTCTCAGTCCAGCACTGCTGCCAAGGAAGTGTTGTGTGTAACAAAATTCCAGGGAAGAGAGAAGAGACTTCTGTGTGAATAGTTTGGTTTAAGCAATGTATGCAGCATCACTGAGAAATTCCAGAGCAGAAGCAGGGACAAAATCTGACTTACCATGATAGGTTCTACTTGCAGAAATCTCCCTTCTCTCCTGCATGTCCTAACTCATTTTGGTGAAGCAAATGAGGCAGGCATCCAACACTGGTAAACCCACCTTCTCCCTGGAGAGGGGACAGAGAAATCAGCAAGTAAATGGCAATTCCCAGCAGCTGATATCAGCTAAACACCAGTTATTAAACATGTTGTTCTGTTCACTGTCCAAGGCTGTTACTCTGGGATCTTCCATCTAAGTCACACTGTGGGTTAAACCATGTTATTACACAACAAACTGCTAAGAAATAGAAAAGCAAAGAACCAGGCCCAAAGCAGAACTGCTGCAGCAATTTAACAAGGCACTGGTATGGGTGGGTTTAGGAACTTACACAACAAGCACAGATAAAGGTTCATTTAATGAGTAACACTGCATCATTCATCAGCTCTGTGTTGCCACAGGCAGTAGGCATGCTGGTAGCCTGTTAATAATTTCAGTTGGTTTCTTTGGTTGGCTACACTTAATTGTTGTCAAGCAGAAAACAAATTAACATTTTCCTTTTCTTCACCACGTCCTTGTGCTCAGCATTTCCCCACAACTCAGGGATACATGCTGATTTGGGGGGTGGAGGGATGTGTACAGTTACTTACAGGAATGAGGTAGGTAGGCCCCCTTTTCTGTTCCTAATGTGTTTGCCTATTTAGGAAGACAGGAGGCAACTGTCCAGCTGCTTTACTTCTGATTTTGGAGCTCTGCAGTATCATGTGCCTGTGAGGATGGAGAAAAGACCAGAACATGCTTTACTGTTTTGCTCCACGAGTGACACTGCCAAGTACTGCTCTGCATGCCTTTGGCACACCCAAAGCACACCTTGACCCTGAACACTGACCTGTGCCACTGTTATGGGAAAAGAATGTCTTCCCTTCTGCCAGCTTTGACCATTCCCAAGACTGGATCAAGCACTTCAGTATCTCACTGCTGAGATGACAACAGCTTTTCTATCAAGAACTTGAGCCAGAGCCCAGTCCAATTCAGATTAAGCAAAGTGCACGATCCAGCAGAGAAACAGAAAGGAAACTTTCAGGAGGGAAAGCACCTGCCCACTGGCACACGTGAACCCAGACAGGAGTGTTCTGAAAGGGAACTCAACAAAGCCACTTGGTCTGCCTTGAGAGGGGCATTGCTTTGTCCCTGCAGAGCTGAGCACATCACACCACAGCTTCTGGTAAGTCCAGCCCTCTTCCTGTTTGGTTCAGAGAAACAAAGGCAATTTACCTCAAACCTCAGTTTAGAGGTGCCAGTTTTGACCAGTGCTGTCAGTGACAGAACTGAGTAAATTATTCCAGCTGATCTAATACATTTAGTCCCTTTCTACTTATGAAAAATTCATCTGCAAGTTGAGATTTATTGATTTTTTTTCAAAAAAATATGATTTAAAAAAAACCAACAAACCCCAAACCAACAAAGCACTGCAGCCTGATCTAAAAGAATCCTCAATATTAAGTAAATTAGCCATGAAGCACAGAACTGAGTGGTTTAATGAGCTTTATCTTAAATGTTTTGCTTCCTGACTGGATTTGCAATCATGTTGTAGTTCATCTAGTTTTAACCTGCTTTACTTGCTAAGAGAGCAATAATGATCTGCACATGCTCTTCTCTTACAGCCTGTTTAGTGATACTGGGACCAAATATCATCATTTCTGACAGTGCTAGATTCTGCTCCTTTATTAGTCTATGTGTCATTAATCAAGGTCTTAAAACATACTTCTGTAAAGTTTTTAGGGTTATCATTCTTACAATTTTTAAATACTAAGAATAATCGCTTTCTGGCAATTCTTTTAATTTTTATTCCTCCTAGTTGTAACATATTACACTTTCTCCTCCATATACAACTTGCTTTTTCTTTTGTATTTATGTCAGCAAATCCACGTATTTGTAAAATATATTTCTTTTACAAAGACAGACTGGCAACCTCTCTTTTCTACTTCCCTTCTTCACTCTCTCAGCCGTATTTTTTCCAAGTATATGCTGTCACACAAATTTATTTCAACACAACACACCTTCACTGGTCATTTTTAAAGCCATCAGACACTACAGGTTCAGCTGAGCCTTCACCTGGTGAACCCATGGCAGCCACCCAGAATACTGTCTGAGTTCACCATTCTGTGGAATTCCACTGGAAGGGAAAACAGCTACTGGAACCTGACCAGAAAGAGCCAAGCAGTCTCCATCTTCATACACAGAGTATTTCCAAGGGGTGGTGGTCACAAACACAGCATATTTAAGATTTAGAAAATGAACACATAACTCCATGCAGTTGGGAACTTACGTGCACATTTTTACAAATATCTACTGAATTTCACATGTAAAATGTTACTTAGATTGTTGGCTAAAGATATCACACATTTGCTTCCCAGCATTTTAAGAAACAAGCCAACATGCCAAATCAAGAGGTTTTAAAGAGATTGCTCTTTTAACTCTTGCAGAGGTCTTTATGTCAGACTTCCAGACTGAAACGTTGCCCCCACTTCACTCCAGTTTCACTGAGTGTTTATATTGCTGTGTGCAGATGGTGCAAGCACACAGAATCACACCAAAATTCTCTTAGCTGAGAAATGGAGCTCCAGGTCTTTGAGTTCACCCGATTCCTTCCCAACAGCACCGCTTCTTTCCCAGCACACCTCACACTCAGGCACACAAAGCACTGGGAGCACGTGGTGCATCAGGAACGCTGCTGGGGCAAACCAAGGGAGCTGTTGTGCTGCTCTGGGGCCCTCACAGCCTGCTGGGCACTCACACAACTCACTTAACACTTCCAGAACCAGCACACGTGGAAGAACCACCCAGAGCATCAGTGGCCATCAGAGTGCCCCTTTGTCTCCCTAAAGTTCCATTAAAAACAGCTGTTTTAATTGCAGAGGTGAAACACCAGCCAGGACAAAGCTCTCTCCAGACAGCAAAACACTGAAGTAAAACCGTGAGTGCACAAGGGACTGCAGAGAAAAGTCTCTCCTGGCTTTCTCTATCCCCTGCTAACACCATCCCTGGATCCCTGCATGCACCCACAGGATAACAAATCAGAGGGTAGGAGAAGGAGAGGAAGCAGACTGGTCTCATCCTAACTGGGGGAAGTTCATACAACAGCACAAGCCACGGCCAAGGAGACACAAAACGTGTCTTTGAGTGCAAAAGCCAGGTGGGTACCTGTGATGGTGAATCACAGACTGGAACACAACTGTAAGTGCCAACGCAAGCAATGAACTGGACCTCAGTATTCAAGTCTGCATTCAGCTGTTTGGTTACTCTGTCAAAGTGATTCACACATCGTGAAAGAAAAACAAATGACACAAGTCAAACTGAAACAATTACAAGAAAATTTTTCTGGAAAGAACACGAAACATTTGCAGTCAGTTCTTATAAAGGTAATTAATACTCTCCAAACTCCATCTGTGTCTTGTTTATGGCATAACCAAAATGTGACAATCTCTCACTAATGACTCATGAAGGTTTTGGTGTAGTAATATCTTGGCACGATTAAACTCTAATAAGCACTGCATGTTAATGCATTTATTAATCAATATATTGATCAAATTACTGTTTAAGATCAGATTTAAAATTAATCTTTGAAAATCAAAGCAGACACTTCCAGTCATGCAGATGATGGCTACACCTGTTTTTTTATTACATAGAGTGAGATTTCCAGCTTCAAACTGCAAACAAGAACCTCTGTGAACAACTTTATTCTGATCAGTTCCATCATGAAAGGCTGTAATGGGAACAGTGGAAATGCCCATCTGGAGGTTTAGGCAGAACCTCAGGTTTTGTCAGGATTAGGCACTAAGGTAGTTTTTGTAAGAGCTATTTGAACGCTGACAGAAGCACTGAGGTGTTGGAAAGCTGTCTGTACACTCCCTTTAGCTCTCAGGAGCACATGTCACTGTTGATAGTTTTTGTCCAAAGCTGCAGTTTAAGACATGATAAGCTTCTCAATTATGATTTACATCTGTAGTAACATCATAAAGTCACAGAAAACACAGTAAATGTCTGACTGGTCAAAACCTACAGACACCTTTTTCTAAGGGAAAATTCTCTTTTAATTAAAGACCTTACACATGACATACACTTCTTTATCAAAAAAAGCAAAGGCACTTTTCCAGTGCCTAAATCGAACCTCCCAAGTTTATCCACTATCCACATTCACCTTCTGAAATAAACCAGCTGCAATGGGACTCGAATGAACGGGTGCCACGGCTGGGCTGGCCCAGGCTGGCCCTTCCCACCTGGTGACAACTGCAGGGACAGTCCTGGCCTTTCTGAGTGCAGGAGGGAGCGGGGTTGGAGCTCAGGCAGTGGTTGGAGCTGGGTGTGCATGGCTGGGCTCCACACACATTGCCAAATGCCTGCACGTTAATTCACCGGTAAAATCTGTGGGAAGAGCATCACCCCTACCTGTCCTGTGAATTAACTGAAACATCTCCCTGCCCTTCAACAGCCGAGGAACATTTTACCAAGAGTAAGAAAGACTAAATTATTTCCCTGCCTAGTTACACATCATTAAATTAATCTGACTCTTCTGTGCTGTCAGAACTGCAGCCAGCTGATCCCATCAAGGCTCTGTAAACAGGACTGAGAAATAAATACAAGATCATAAAACTTGGTTTTATCTCCCCAATAGTGTGAACACCTACACTTCATTGAACAAAATCATTTTTTTAAATGCTATCAAATAAGTAGCTCTTTTTCCCCCCTAGCCACTGAAAGCTCAAAGTTCTTAATTTATTGAGTTCTAAGGGGCTTTTTTAAAGTTAAAAATGGAATGGATCTAAAGTTGAACTCCAGAAGCTGATCTTGACTACATATCTATCTGTGCACTTGCATTAAAACATCTCAGAAATCAGGACCCACAGGAACTCCAATACTGAGAAAATACTTTGAAAAAAATTGGTTACATTTCATACTCACAGTGCCTCTCCTGATAAATTCATACCACTTCTGTTTAACTTCACGAAGAAAATGGTTTTTGTTTTGGCTTTTAAATAAAAAGTTACCTGATTTCACCTATCAGCTCAACAAATGCTCATTTTGTTGTCTTACTTTCATTAAAGGGTTAAGTTTCAGGGAACAAAAATTATGTCACATTTCCACACATGCAAAAGCTCCAAGACATGTAATTCAAATCCTAATTATTTTTTCCAATATATAAACCAGTTAGAGGATTTGCAAAGAAAAGAAATTTTTCCCCTTTTATAGTCAGAATACTGAAGAAAAATCCACATAAAAAGATCAAATAAAGGTTAGCTGTAAGCTAAAATACAAGTCTTGTAAAGAATATTTAGTGTGGTGTGCCCCAGCTTTTTGTTAACATTTGAATTCACTGTTTTCATACAAACTCCTAAGAATTGTGCTGTACCCTAAATCACAAACAATTCTAACATTTTTTCTCTCACACGTTGCCATCATTACTAAGATAAAATATTGGAGTAAAAATTTCTTTGTGGATAATACAAAGCCAGCAAGTGCATTGGTGTAGGTTTCAAAATAATTACCATTTGGCTTAACAGTTGAGAAAGTTATTTTTTAAGTCATGCTTTCATTTATTTTGTCTTGAATTTGGCAGAGCTTAAACCCATACAAATCTATTTGCATGATTAGTTTTACTGTTTAGACTGGTCACATAAAGGCAAACACGTAGTCATCAACAGGACAGTGTGTTTGAGATCTTTTGGAACACACAGGAAGAAATCCTAATTTCACTGAGGTCAGAGAAGGTTGTCCAGGAGCTTCACCTGTTAAATATCCTCTGAATATTGTGAGCTCTCTAACTAAGCAAATACACTCAAATCTTGGGGGAAGATCATCAGTGCATCTCAACAGTAACTGACTTTTACCTGTGGATTCTCTTTTTTTTTCCATAGTTTGAAAATTTTTAAATTAAACTGTGTTTCAGTTTAAAAATATATATAAAAATACATGTCTATATATGCATGAGCATATATATATATATATATAAAAATCTGCCTTGCTCATTCATTATCCTTTCCCACGAGCCTCTCAGACTTTGGTACAAGACAGACCTTGAACTACTACTAATCACTAACTACTAATCACTAGTTCTTTTCACTAATCAAAGTTTCTAATCACAACTCTTCTATCATACTCCATTACAGGCATACAAAGTTATTCCTTTTACTAATCTCACAGTATGTCCTTCATTCCTTCTGCCATTCCTAGGCAGAAGATGAATGACTTCTTAATTTCTGATGATTTCCAACTAACTTATCTTCCATAAATTTCTGATAAAAGCTATTTTTAAATTTTATACATGTGCAAAACCCCCACAACAGTAAGTGATCAAAGCTGCACTGAGAACTGTCTTGGGACAGTCCAGGAGCAGAGCAACTTCCAAGGCCTGCAGACACTTCAGGGGGCTGCACGAGGAAAACCTCTGGCTGAGAGCTGTACAAACGTCAGCACTGCAGTGGAGTGCACTGCTGCAAACACAGGCATCCTCTTCCAAAAGAACACCGGAGCAAGCAATTCCAGTGACTCTTTCACATCTACACCAAGCACCCCCTTTGCTGACTTCACAGCAGCAACACAGCCACAGCTCCACCCTCCAAAACATCTTTACAGCACCTCATCAAGTTCACAGGGACAGCTTCACCTTTACAAACAATAAAAGCAATTTTACTTTTAAAAGAACCGTACTTTATTAACTATAAAACACACCTCTAGATACAAAACCTGACAAGCTCTGAAGCCCACTAAGGAAGAGTAGTACTAGGTCATATTCCAAAGTACCTGATCAGCTGTGACAGGACCTCTCTGGTCACTACTGGATGACAAAATATAACCCAAAAGTAGAGCATGCAGTGTGTGCAGATGTCTAAAGGCTCACAGTGTAATGTGCACTCTCCAATTCATCTTAGCTTCACCTCATGAGACCTCTAAATCCTGTTTCACCCAATAAAGCCATTTTCCAGTTGCCACTCTCCTGATAATGCAAAAAGGAAAAAAAAAAGCTATTGACTTAGAGGTTAGTGAGAGGCTTCCTGTAAAAACTGAGAACCTGCCACTGTTTTATGTCATGGTGGAACCAGTTTCTCCTCAGCACTGAGGACTGAGAGCGGAGGAAGGTGGACTGCAGTCAGCCTGGTCCCCACGCTGGGGCTGAGCCATGGCAGGGTCAGTGGCTGCGTGTCCTTCTGTGCTGCTTCCCTGCAGCTCCCCAGGCCTCAGGGGTGGGTGGGAAAAGAATGGACAGCAAAGACAGCGGAACACACAAAGCCTGAGCTGTGCTGAGTGATCATCTGCATCGTGAAATGCCAGCAGAGCAAGCCTGACCTCTGGACAAGAGGAGACTAAGGAAAAAGAAAAATGACTAAGGGAAATTCTCCCTCTGATTTAATGAGGTATGGGGGGGAGAAAATATTGTGAACCACAGGCAATAACTCTCCTACCACTCAAAATAAGTATCTACAGCTCAGATGTCAATGAACGTTTTCCAGGAAAACAATTACTCAAAATCTCTTGTTAGAGGAAGACCAGAAAGAATTAAACCATCTTTCTTGTTTTTCAGAGATGCTCTAAGTGGAAAACATGATGATGACATGATGAGCTGTCACTCGGCTGCAACCCACTCAGTTCTATTACTGCTTGCTACAGCTACTTCAGCATTCACTCAGCTCAGTTACCTTTTATATTCATCACATGCAGCAACTCTCAAATGCCCCTCATGACACAGGGCAGTCCTTGCCCTCAGAGTCCAAACTGATTTGATCTCTTTTTGCTTTATTGCAATTTAGGACTGAACTGTGAAAGAGAGCAGGAACCCTGTTTCCATATCCCTTGGATTCCTGCACCACACGCATTTTTCTCTGCCCTTCCTTTTGCTTTCTAGAAGACTGAGGTTACAGGGTACAGTGCCCCATTTGCATATCAAAAGCAGCAGCACTTTACATAAAAATGAAAAGCAGGCACTTTTCTGGTTTCTGTGACTAAGAGCTCAAGATTTCCTTCCTCTGAATCTGTAACTCCAAAGTCAGGTGTTACTCAGTTCACCAAGACTGGTTCAGATAAACATCTTAAAAGTGAAGAAGCTCCCCCACCATCCAGTGTTACCTGGTACATATTTGCCAGAGACATTTTCTTTCCAGACACTCTTCTGGAGCAGTTAAAGACCTCACTGTCTTACCTGAAAGAACATAAGAAAAACACGCAGTCAAGCACAAAGATCATAAAGAAACAATTCTTATGTATCTCAAGTTGTATTCTCATTGTCTGAGAATGCTGAATGGCACTACCTCACTTACTGGGGTACTTGAGTGTCTTTTTTCAGCTGGTCACTCAGATGTGTCAGGTTCTGTCATTAGAATAAGCAGGAGACTTTCCACTCTACCCAATCTAACAAAAGGACACATATACAGAACCCTGGGCAGGTTCCTGTAACTTCATGCTGAGGTGGGACCTTGCCCTAAGTTTGTACGTGGAGGTGCCCTTTCTGAAGCCCAATGCCCGAGCCTGGTGACAAGGGACACAGCAGCTCTTGGTGCAGACAGGAGCACACCAGGAACTCTAAATTAACCTGGGACCTCTGCCCAGCCCCACGAGGCTCAGCCTTCAGCTCCACAGGAGGCAGAAGAGATTCAAGCACCAGCCCCTGCTGAAGTTCAACATGCCCCAGCTGTACCATACCTACCCTTTACACCCTCGAGGCATCAGACCAACCACCATTAACCTGAAACCACCATCCACCCTCCAAAAAGCAGACAGGCAAATGAATACATGAATACAAAGACATTTATAGCTCTGTTTCTGAGAAAGAGCCTTCCTGCCCCTTGGCAGGGGTCTGTAGCCTAGTGCTTGGCATGCCATGGCTGAGGCTACAGGCACAAGCTGCTGTACCCCTGGAGACACAGTACCTGCCCATCTTGCTCCCCTACCCTTTTTGCTGGTGGTCACAGACATCAGGTAGGTAAGTGCAAAAAGGCTTTAGAAGGGGTAAGAGGGGATGCAACCATGTCCCTTCTCCCCCATAGCATGACTGTGATATGTGACATCAGCTTTAATGACTTCCCTGCCTAGAAACGTACCTGGCCACCCACACAGCCAGACAGAGCAGTGAGCTGGGAACAGCAAAATGAGTGACTCAGAAATACCAGCTGTTTGCCACAGTGTCTCACTACTCCAACAGTGGGTAGTGTTTGAGCTGTCCTTGACCTGCCAAATCCCTCTTCAGCCACTTCCCACCATTAGAAACGTTGATGTGTTTCCAAGTCCTACCATGAATGCATTACCAATTGCACGAGGAAGATCTATCTGTTTCAGATGGTTTAAAATAAAAATAGGTAGCAGACAATTCTTATGCTCAGGAGAATCATGGAATACTGGCAGTCCAGAGGATTACACAGTCCTTTGACCTGTGCCAGCCATTCAAGGTGGTTTATCATTCACAACTCCTCAAGCCCTTGTTGTGCCCTCAGAGACAGCTGATCTGTTTCCCTACATGTCTTCAATGAGAGTCAGATTATTTAAAGAAATTCCACTGGATCAGAAACAAGAACCACTGTTTAAAATCAGGCAGTCTCAACAAACTTCCATCCATTTTCCATCTATTTTTACTTAATAAAGCACACAATGCAATAGGGCAAGCTCAGGAAACACAAATGTGTTTATGAGTACATTGCTATTGGCATAGGAATCTTCATATTAATCCACTTCCCTTTTAAAATAAATTTTCTCAGGTTCTCAAACACATTTTCTGTACCAGTGCTCTGTGCCTTGCACAAAGCCAACAGTCATTCCTCTACCATGTTAGTACAGAGAAGGAACAGAGGAGTGGCTGCACAGAAGACACTGCTGCCATCACCACTCATCTGAAATGCTGTGTCCTTCTACTGCACTTCCAGTGGCCAAAGGGAGAACCTTCTCCAACTGTAAGTTGGCCTTGGCTGCTGAAGTCTTACATCTTACAGTGAATAAATTGTTTTCTCTTTAAAGGCTGCCAAAGCAGGCACTGAATGTAAATATTTGGAGAAAACTGCACCCATCTTCCTGCAAGCACTTGTCTTCATGGATTCTAGATCTGTGCTGATTCTTCCAAGACACTGAAAAGCCAATCCTACACACGAGGTGTTCAAGAACCTGAGTTCCCCACAGGCTGATTGGACTTGTTTGGTTGGAAACAAGTGTGGGAAAAGCAGCCACGTTTCAGTACATGTGGTCCTACCCTTTGGCAGCCCACACCAAACATAAATGAAGGAAAAGGATCTTTCTGTTAAACTTCATAAATTGGTAAGAGATGAAAGGCACACAGAACACAAGAAAGTACTGACACCTGAGCAGTGTGATCCAAGGTAGCTTGGATAACCACTGACAGCTCCACAGGGATAATCCCATTCAGAGCAAGGCTGACTGGATATGCATGTGAGCATTTTTCACTGCTCTTGTGAAACATGGAGAAGAAACTTAAAATTCCCCATGTCAACAGCATATACATTTCTTGGGGGAAAAAAAAAAAATCACAATTCAGCTGTCAAAACTATCTTTTATGTCCAGCACACTCTTCAGTCCAATCCTGCCTTTCTGCCTGCCTGATGAATTCAGAGGTTGTTGCTGGAGCCGCTTCCTCTTGCCTGTCCTATTTAACGAATGTAATTCAAGAGAATAAAATCAACTATTTCTGCAATAGCAGGAAGGCACATAGTGAACTGTAGAATACCAAATCTACCAATTCACTTTATTCAGTGGATACAAATTTTACCCATAATACTTCTCTGTAACTGACTGACACCAAAACAGAACAAATAATTCAGTAATCACACCTGCACCCGGAACAGTCTGTCTTGTTCAGGACTGAGGTCATCCAGAGAGGGGAGTTTGCAGTGCAGCTGCTGCACTTTACATAAACACAGAGCTTCCATGGAAATGGGAACGCTTGTTTCTCACCCCTCCTCCCTTTTTTCTTTTTTTTTTAATATAATTTTCCTATATATTTTGGAAAACTGTAAATTTTGTGGGCAGCTGTGGTTTTTTCTAATTTGAGAATGAAATACATCTCGAAATTATTTCCTATTGTAAACAACAGAGCTGTCTGATGATTTTAGCATGATATTAACAGAAGGTTGTTAACTATTTTTATAGCATAAGAAACAAAAATTTTAACTGTCTAATCCTACTCTTTAAGAGCTGGCAAGACAGAGTTTTAAAGGAGAAATGCCCAGCAATCCAGATTAAGTGTGCCAAACTGATGGTTTATGCTTCCATGGGTACAGACTTTCAGTGGCAAAATAACCCAGCGAGCACTCCCTTCTCACCATGCTGTTACTCCAAAAATGACCCTCCTCCTCCACAGCCTTCATTATGCTAAACAAATAGCTCATCATCAGGGAATAGTTACTGGCATTTCTCATGTGCTAAATCTATATCCTCTTCACAACACTCCTAGTGGTCCACTTTTATTAAGAGCATTACTCAGTGTACACCTTCTCAGTACTTGCCAGAACCACATTCTAAACATGTCTCAAGCCATGCTGGTAAAGTATGAACGCACAGCACAGGTTATGTTGGTAGCTACCATCTAACAGAGACAGTCAAAAAATCCTGCAACACCAATACACCTTCAGTAAAGCCCAAGATACCTTAGTGACAGTATCTGTATGTTCATGTTACACTGCCCGACATCAAAACAGATTCAAGCTCTTATTTTGCAAACACATCAGCATGGGGGCATGTTTCTTGTACCCATGTTCCTGAAACAAGCCACAAAAGATAAATATCAGATGGTTTGGTATTGGCCAGCCTAGGAGTTCTGGCTGAGCCAAAGTCCCCCCTGAAGCAAGCTGGGAATCCCACTTCAGCAAGCATTCTTAGTGGGACCCATTCAAACTCTCATGCAGGCTGGCAGAATGAGCAGGAAGTTCAACAACAAAAAAAGGAAATATATTTGCACATTTCAATGCATTAATATAATGCAGGACTTCCATTCTTCTTTATTCAAGTTCCTGTGTATATGTAAAAGAGGATGAAGAAGTAAAATTTTCCATTCCAGCTACAGATTGTGCTAGAAACAGCACCAAAAGAGGAAAATGTGTCTCTGCCAGTCCAGCTGAATGTCATCTAGTCAATGTTATAAAAGGTACTTACTGAAATGAGTGGCACAATCACCATTTCTTCAATTACAAAGAATCCTCTCTGAAGCTAAAAAAATGCAACATGGTTGCTTTGCACTATTACTGAGTGTGCTTGCATTACATCAGTGTTTGCATCAAAGCTGCTGGTGCAAAGAGGAGAGCAAAGCCCATTTTATGAACTGATGTAATCAAGCCCAGCATCTCTCTGGGGTTTTTTTGTTCCTGTGGCCACAATGACATCAGCCCACTCTGCCTATTCAGTAGTGCAGGGCACTGACAGCTCTTCACCTCTGCTCCCACACTTCTCCATTCCTCTGCTCCTCTTTTATTGGGTCAGGATGTACGAGCAGGAGGACTCCACTTCCCCAAGTCCTATTTCAGTGGGACCCAACACAACACCTGCCTCAGATTTCTCCCTGCTTGCTGTCAGTGTTTCCAGCTATGGCAGACAACGTCAAAACTTGACTTCCAGTGGGAAGGGGGGGGAGGAGAAACCTCAGGAATTTAACAAAGCACAGCTAAACCCGGTAAAGTGGGTCAAGGATTTCCCCCCTGGAACCCACACTGTTCCAGTAGCAGCTGTACGTCAGTGGAGCAGATATTTACCATACCCAGCCTGACCTGGAAGGATTAGGAAGCTGTTTGTGTGCCCAGCTGGCACTGCAGCCCCACGACACCCAGGCTGGAGTTCCACAGGGCACCCCCAGCATCCCCTTTGCTCCCCACGTTTCAAAGGCTCCCACCAACCTAGGCAAGCAACTCTGCTTTTCTCTATCAGGTTCTCTGCCTGGAAAGCCAGGGTAATCATACTAATCTGACACAAGAACTTACTGAAGAGAAGTCAACTCACTTTTGCTTGACATAATCCAGCCCTGGAATTCCCTCATCTAATTCATTCCCTCATCAGAGACACAACATCTAGGCCAGAATACACTGGAGAAAATACATTTACACATGGAAAACACTGTAAAGCTTAGGGACAAATGTGATCTGTTACTGAAACTACCAGTGCACACAGAGTAGGTTTTGTGAGTTTTCCTGCTGAGAGATTTCTTGGGTCTGC